GATAACGTCTATTTAATAATCCTTACTATTACATATTTATTTCTAAAATCCTGAAATACAAATAATATTTCATAGGAAGAATTCAATTAATGAATAATTTAACAATAGAAACAAAGACAGATTTATTTAGTACTATACTGTTTTAGATTAATGACAATCAACATTCATTTTTATTTTTAGTTTACGATGGCAGATTTTTAGGTTTATCAGATTCCAATTTTCTTCATCAATATGAATTTTTATCTTGGATTCCAAATTAATTTATTCCTTAATACAGTTTCCAAATTTGTTTACATAGCTTAGGACCAGCTTAGTTGACGGTAATTATTTTCAACTATTACATATATTTCACACGTTTTTATGCAGATGAAAAATATGGTTATACTACAACGTTAAGCAAATTTTAAATAGTAATAAAAGTGATTATTTAAGAATCACATAAATAAAATAAAATTGTATAATATAATAAAAAATAATTTAATAATAAATATTTTTTGAAAACAGACATAATATGGAAATTAAGAGATTTTTAATAAAAAGTGAAATTTTAGCATTTTTTATGCAATATCTCAATATTTTTCAAACAGCTTTTGGACTATGTGTTCTACACCTGTAATTTTATAGAATAAGTTTTGAAACTTTCAAGTAACAAATAATATAAACTATATTTTTAAATTAATAATTGTATACATATATATATATATATATATACACAAGTGTATATACATATACTTACTAAATATATGAATATGAAATGCTTTCATTCTACATTATATATTTATATATATATATATATATTTCGAAACAACAGAGATTTGTAAAGCTAAATGACATTTTAATCAATTATTAATTTATTTGAATAATTTAATGTAATAATTATATAAAATTTTATTCCATTTTATTGGAGTTAAATGGTTTCATCCCATACAAAGTGTGTGATGTAATGTAGTGTGCAACATCACTTCTATGGAAAGTCCGTGAGCGGCACTTACAACTGTTCTGTTCTCCATTTCTATGTTAATAATAATTTTATTCTACATTTCTTATTATAATAATGTTCTGGAAGATAGTATAAGAATGCAGTAAAATTTATGTGTATATTTAAATTAAAATGATTATATAAGCTTCAAAATAAATTATAATTACAAAATAAAGAATTTATTATTAATTCATTTTGTGATAAACGTAAAATTATTTATTCATGACTTTAAATATAAGTATTAAATGTCATTTTATATTTAAACTTAAGAAAAGCATTTTTTGAGATTATGCAAAAATTGATTTGTCTAAACCATAATATTCGATCTTTATGAAATTTTTTACGTAAACAGTAATAAAAATTAAAATAAAATTAGTATAATAAACAGTAATTAAACAATAAATTAACATTACACTTATAATGATTCATTTATGATAATAAATCAACAATTATAATAATAAATAAACATATAATAATAAACTAATTAAAATAAAATTGAAATATCTACATACTATGGTGTAATATTATTTGTTAAACCTTTGAAAATATTAAATATTAGTATAGAAAATAATTATATAATATTATTTATATAAAATTGTAAAAAGTTTCTTAGAAATTATATGTTAATTATTAGTTTTTATATACTATTAATATAATAAGGAAATTACTAGTGGATACTAATTATTAGATTTACAAAAAACTCATTTATGTTAGTAATTATTTATTATTAACTCTTTTACTAATATTGTTACGAAATATAGATTATAAATAGTAAATCAATTTTGTCATGATAATTTTTAAACATTGAAAAAAAACGTTAACATTATAATTAATGCAATATATATATATATATATATATATATATATATATATATATATAAAGATGACTAAGAATAAAGAAAGTGTAAGATATAATAACCAATTAAACTCAATGGTATTTCAAATTGAAAATAATCACTTGTGTTATCCTATATTCGATTTATCTTATGTTACTCTATACATACTACTGTTTGATATTTCTGTTGCTCTGCGTTGTTTTCTGATTGAATAGTAGCAGTGACGAATGTGATTGCCCCTTATCAGGCTATTTGAAGTCAGAAACACAGAGGAAGTCAATTTCCTCAAATACGCGATTCAACAACAAGAGAAAGAGATCGAAAAAGGCCAAGTCAAGTGTCAAGCACGAAAAGAGAGACGCGCGAAACACGCTACTAACGTACCCGTTTATTCAATGTGATTTTTCATTTTGCGTTCTATTTCCCTGCGCTTTTACGCACATTTTAAAATCAAATATAAGGAAACAATTTATAAATGAAGTGCTAAATGTAAGTATTTAATTCCTTAATTCGATATTCTGCCCATTTGTTACATATGTTATAATATTTGTATATACATTGCCTCGGCTGTTGACATTAGCAATTAAATTGTAAAAAATATTAGAGTAAATAAATAAAATTTTCAAAATTAAATTTCAATATTATTAGTATTATAAATATGTTTTCCTGAATGTTATTCATTAATTGTGTTTTAAAAAAAGATTTGTTCCACATATAAGCAAGTTCAGTTGATAGTATTTCTAATACAATATTTCATACTTTAAATTGCTGATTATAAAGATTTAAATATATAAATTCTAAACATATAATTAGATTATGATAGATTAAATACAAAGTAAATAAAAATATTTGTTTTTTTACAATAATTAACTCTTTCAGTTTGTCACATTATTTTTTAAAATGATAAATAATAGTCATTAATTCAGTTATTAATTTTATTATATACACTATAAATTAGAATATATTTATATATATATATATATTTTTTATTAGCTTAAAATTTTTTTTTCAAAGTCTTTATAGTATATTTAAATAATTTAGAAATTATTGTGTTATTACATTTTTAACAGATAATTATAATAAGCAAACTAACCTAAGATTATTAACTAAAAAGTCAAATTAAATTCATAATGAATAATTCATAATATTTAAAAATAAAATTTCATTGTTTATGGTAAGACTTGTGTTAAAATAAAAAAACTTAACATTCAATTACACTGAAAGCGTCTGATATTTTATTCAATAATTTAATATGTAATGATGGTGGAATAGAAAAAATTATTATAGATACTGTTACGTACATACTATAAAGGCTTGTAATTATTATTTCAAAACATGATAAAACTAGTTTAATTATAATTAAAGAAACAACAAATATGAAAATAAACTTCAAATTTCTTAATTTCAGCGATTTCAAGCTGTGCAATGAAGGAAGAAGTCTCATCAATTGTTTTGCTGGTGCTTGCGAAGTTAACAATAAATTTAGCTAATGGAGAGTTTTTTATATTGTCGGGACCACCCGAATACAGCAGGACAAATTTACTATATGCTAATCACCATATTAAAGATATGTATTGTGTCACCGATGAGCTGGACAGTGCTTTGATTTGGAACAGTAATCTAGAGTGGATTGAGCCGAAGTTTGCTGATTTAAATACCATAGATAAACCATTTGGTGAGCTAATGAATTTCATTTGAATCATTGCTTATTGCGAAAATAACACATTATATAATCACAATTACTTAGTAACATTATGGCGAATGGCCAGCTGACTCGAAATATTAATAATAATAAATTAACATTGAATTTAGACAATTTTGAACACTTCGTTATTATATATATTATTTGAAATGATACTCGACATTATAAAAATATATTATCGTTTAATATGATAAAATGTGCAATTTTCGTTGGATTAAAGTGTTTATTAAATCAATACATATTAGTAGATCTTTGTAAATATATAGATCTTATGTGAATTATAACAATACCATAATTATATCATGAATATAAACGAAGATAAATAAGAATCTAATATGAATCTAAGTCAACTGGTAAATTTTTTAATTATTTAAACACTAAATACAAGTAGTATTTTTTCAAATTCTCTTTTTATACTAATTATTAACACTTTTATTTTCATGTTTATATTCATAATTCTATACAATAGTTTTTTTTTATTAAATAATATTTTTTTATTCCACTTGAAAATTAATTAATACGTGAATTGTAAACATAAATATTTGTAATATTGCTACTTCCCTCACTATAATTACAATTATAAAAACCTTATAAAAAAAAATATGAATCTATTTTTATATTTTGGATTATGAAGCCAGAATTTTTATCAAGAGTATATAGATATATGTAGGAAAATATTTTGTATTTATTGTTAAAAAAATTTTCTGACTATTATGTTCTTATGTATTTGATATAAGTAATAAAAGGATTATTTAGGTATATTTTATTAATTCAATCACGTTTCAGTTTATAGTATTTTAGTAAGTGTGTACAATAATTTCTATTAGAATTTCTTAAAATCATTAATTGTACAATATTAAGAAAAATATAATTATAAAAGAATAGAAGAAAAATCAGAAGAATTATAGAAAAAATATTTAAACAATGTTAATACTGCAAAATTGAGAAAACTTAAATAACTTCGATATAATTTTGTAGGAAAATGTTTTATTTTTTATCGTAATTTAATTTGCTTTTTATTCTTACCAATTATAAACTGCGTGACCTAATTCATATATTCCATTAGATAGATTAAATCCTATTTTTAAATAGAACGTATTTTATTCAATAATGAAATAAATAGTTTTAAATAGTTTCAAATTAATAAAAGTAATTTCATATTTATACATATTCTAAAATACATTTGAAAATCTTATAAATTTAAGCTTCAAAAATCTATTAATTTTATTTATAAAATGAATTATGAATAATTTTATATGGATTTTTTTACAAGTACGGTAACTTAATTTTGTTTAAATTTATATAATAGCATCCTATTGCAATAATAATTGATGTAATACATTGAAATCATTATTTTTATTATATTTTATTGTTTCTTAATAATGTTGAAATAAAAATAATATTAATACTCTTTATTTTCATAAAGTATTGCATAAGGATAATATCCTGTATCCAACAACTACCAATTTTACTTGTCCAATGAGCAATAAAACATCGTGTTCGCATTATTGGACAAGAATGGGAAATTGGAATTATGTGTCCAGTTTAGTGAAACCAATGTCTCCGGTATCAGATAATCGTTGGGAAGGTAAATTAGAAATCTGAAAATCGATTTTTTTCTTATTTGATAAAAGATTTTCACGTATGTAACATTAATGAATTATTTTTTGTATGAACAAAAGTAATGGTAAATATTTTTGCATTCAAGTTCTATCGAATTTGTTTTATTTATATTGAACGTATCGTTTAAGTTCTAAGTTCTCACGCTAAAGTATATTCATCGGTATTGTAAGCAAATAGTGGAAGCAAGAACGTGAAAATTTTCATTTCAATTTACAAACAAGAGTCCACACTTTATTCATAAACTTTGTATCGTGTAGATTTCAAGGAAGAGAAAATATCGAATCAATTTAGAGCAATTACTGTACTTCCGAACATCGGTAGTTTTTCAGTTTCGATACGTGGAACAACAGATGCACATTTTGCTCTGTGCAACAAAGACAACACCTCAAATTTTTGCTTTTTTATTATCTTGGGAGGCTGGAAGAATACAAAGTCCATTATACGAAAGTGTGAGAACGGAATACCCGAATCGGCATCGAAAATTCCTTCTGGGGATTGTCAACAAGCACTTGTCTCCACCAATGTAAGAATGAATTTTTTCATTACTAATCGTTATTCGTTATTTATCATTATACATATCCAATTAGATTTTTAAGTTTATTTCAAATATAATTTATTTATTGTAAAAATTAATTTATTAACATAATTTATACACTAATTAATTATATGTCTTTTTTATTTGAAGATCAAAATAATAATCAAATTGAATAAAGCATTATAAATACGAAATATAAATGAATACAAAAATTTGAAAGATTTATTTTTATCTTGTATATCATTATAATAAAATATAATTAAAATTATTATAAAAATTTATTCATTGGATTTCTTATGATATATATTCGTTTTAAATTGAATTCTGTTTATTTACATTTTACAAATAATAAATTATATATACTATGTATTTTAAATTTTTAGAAACTAAATAATAAATTACACTTATAAAAAAAATGATTAAATATTAATTGATTTTAAGTAATCTACCTTTCTAAACAAATTACAATTTAACTATTTTATAACTGCCTAACTATTTGATATTTATAGTCTATAGTTCTTTCATCAAAAAAATGGAAAACATTTATAATAAAATGGGATTTCGAAACCCAAATAGCGTTATCAGTTTATGAATCTAGTACGAGACTTTTAAATTATTCTGCACCAAAGGAAAACAATTATTTTACAGGCCATCGCAGAACTCCATCTGCAAATCCCGAGTACTTTCTTTTTGCACGTACTCAGGTACAACTGTTAATGAGATTCCATATATGTACGTACTGCTGTTTGATATTTATTATTTATAGAAGAAAAATATTAAAAATTTATATGTAAATAATAAAAGATTTCATAGCACAATACATCTATTAACAATTAATAATTTAATAATAAATGATAAATATTTTGATATTAATTCTAATATTTAGAATATTTTAAGTATTAACGCACACACGCACACGTACGCACCAACGCACACACACACACATATTATATATATTAATATTAATATTATTACATATATTATTACATATATGTGTATATATATATATATATATATATATATATATATATCATATATATTAATATAAATATATTTAAATAGGACTTTAAGAGAAGTGCTTTAAATATTTTATTTTTTTTTAACTTACTTATATTTTACAAAATAAAATTTAAATGCAAGTTATCGAATATCCGATGTTTCAGATGATTATTTATTGACGACAACGACTCAATCAAAGCTAATTAGTCCAGAAACAATATCATTAGATAAAAATATGTGCATCGAGATGTCAATCAGTTTGTGTAAAAAGTGTTTTATAACCGTCGATTTTGTAGATCGTAATGGAAAACGAAAAGCAGTAGGAACTTTTCAGAATAAAAGTTCTAATAATTTTTATAATTTACCAATTTGGCAAAAAGTAAAAATTAATACAACACTATCAAAAGGAATGCAACTGCCAATTAAAATGGAAATTAATACCCTATTAGGTAACGTCTCGAACAAAAATAATTCTTACTGGGCAGTGTCAAATATTCACCGCTGCTATGATGGTTAGTACTCGTCAATTCTCTTACTTTGATAGATTAATTTGTAGATGCACTTTGAAATCACTTGAGCTTATGAATTGTTTTTACAGGTATTTATTGAAGTGAAAATTAACGTTTTTAAAATTGCTGAGTCCACTTTTTTTCTGCAGGTGCGTTAAAAATTGTTAAAATTAACGCTCATCAAGATTACAATGAATCCAGTTATTTTTGGCCAATTGTTACATGTCAAAAACTATCATCAAATGGAGTTTCGACAATCATCGAATCAACGGATCACGATACACCGCCATTGAACACAGGTGATAATTTTCTTATCTACTTTATGATTTATCGATCATAAATTAGTTTATTATAAGTAAATAATATTTTTCGAAAAATATACATTACTAACTGGTTTATTATATATATCATAGATTATATATAAAGAATATTCTTATTCTTATTTTAAACTAACATGCAAGTGCGCATCTCTCAAATTTTCGATCTACGCAATTGTACATACCTTGTCTAAAGAAATATACCGTTTTCCTACTTTATACATTTTTTTACTTATTAGAAATGTATTCTCTTGTATTTATTAGATCATTTCTACTAATACTCGTTAATATAGATTATTGCGTCATTGAAATAATGATATGTATTAATGAAAATCCTTACATAAAATTATTTCATTTATATGATTTTAATTCATTTAGGACTAATTATTATTTTATATAATATGAATAAAATTTTATTAGTTCTGTTTCTTATATTTTTTTTTTATTATTTCAACTTTGAGAATATTTCATTTCTAATTGATTTTATACAATTAATGAAAAACCATCGAATAAAATATAAATAAATATATATAAATATATATAAATGAAATTAATATATTATTTTAAAAGAATTTAAAAAGAATTGAGGTTATTTTTAAAAACTTTCCGATTAATATGTTAAAATAATTTTTTAATTTCTTTGATAAAAAAATATAAAATTAATGCAAAAACTTATAAAATTACAAAGTATTCGTTTTCAATGATAATTTAAAATATTTTATAATTTTATATTGAAATAGTAATACTGCTCTTTTAACTGATATTATCTCATCTTTGTTCATTTTTAACTACAATAGCTACAAAAATTAATAGCTACAAATAAGAATTAAATATTCAATATGCTATTCTCAATTTTCGATATTTTCAACATTTATAAGAAACTGTTATTTTCAGAAACAAGATCTCATTGTACAGAAGGAAAAATCGGACCATCGTGTTCAGTAAATTGTACCAAGCTTTTCAACAATAATAACCATTGTCATAAATTGCTAGCTTGCGACGAGGACGGGTGTTTTTGTGCACAAGGATTTACTATAAAATCTGTTTGTAGTGAACGTGAGTCGATTCTTTACTTTATTTATAATACCTTGTAATTGTAAATAATTCTAAAATGTTCATATTCATTAAACTAATGGTTAATTGGTAATAGTAATTTCCAAATTCTTTGTGGTTAAAATGTTCTATATTCAAACTATTTAAAATTTTTATGTATAATTAAGAAATTATGTATTTACATTAATATTTTTTTTCATTCTTGTTTATAATCAATATAATTATTGTATTACCAGAAACAATAAACTTTAATAAATTTAATTTACTAAATTTAAAATGAAAAGACGATTTATAAATTTGTACGATGCATATTTATAAATGATTTAAAACACTTAATATTACATAATTTAAATTAAAACGATATAACTGCCGCATTTAATTATTTTATATTCTCAATTAGGTTGCCCTAATTTAAAATATGGTTTTGAATGTTTGCAAACATGCGGAAATTGTGCTGATGATATTTGTAGCTTCACAACTGGCGAGTGTAAATCTGGTTGTCGTATCACTAAAAATAAGCTTTTTATACCACCATATTGTAAAATAGGTTAGTATACAATTTATATTTTAACATTACTGCAATAATTTGTAAACAATAAAACTTATAGGAATTGGAGCACCACCGCCACCCGGTATAGATCTAATAAATTCTACTTGTGCGAGACTTTATTTAGATGTCCAGAAGGAATATAAAATAATACCGACAAGTGTAAACTTTCAAATTTGGGTATAAATTTAAAAATTTTCTTTTATATTCATTATGAAATAAACTATAATTTTAATCATTTTACTCAAATAATCATTCATTTGTAGTTACTGCGCAATAAAATGTCACAATAAAAAAGCAATAACAATGTTCAAATTGTTTTATTAATTTAAGTATTTAAGAAAGTATAGCTATAAATAGAAATATTTGAAACATCTCTCTTAATAAAAGTAACTTAATTTTCAAAGCATATTTATTTTTGAAAAAATTTTAAATCAATATTTTCTTAAGTATAATTAAATGTACTGCAAAGCTTACTTACTTTAATTTGTTGATTTATGTTAACACGAGTAATGCCGGTTTAATTACGATTGCAAAAAATTGTAAAAAATTAATCAATTAAATATATGAATAGGATGCATTAATATATATATAGATATATATCGCAATTTTGTATTAAAGAAATGGTAAGTAGTAGTAACGAATGTATTTACTATTTAATTCCAGACAAACTCGACTATTCCAGCATTCGTAAGTAAGCCCATATCCGTACAAAGGACTACTGTCACTATTCAAACACACGTTGATGGTTTATATCCTGGCACTCGATATAAACTCGCCGGACTCATTCGTGCGAATAATCGGACTTTTCGTGGAGAGTCAATTAATTTTACTACACCTTGTACAGGCAATTATCATTCTGCATACTCTATTATTTCAAAGCTTCTAGCTCTCGTTTTCGTAATCGTTATTGTAAATATGATATGTTGGATCATTATTTGCAAAAATCATTTTAACTATTTAAAAATAAATTTACATATTGGCTTATTCTATTTGTCTATCTACTATTAATTATTCATAGGATACTTATAAAATTGCATATAAGTAAATTCATTGTAAAGTTAGAATTTAGTTTAATTTGTCTACCAATCGGCGATACAAATTTATACATACGTAAGCACAACTAAAGTTACATCAAATTTCAATGCATATCAGCTTTATTTTTTGGTAACAGATATTTCAATATAAACAATGTTTTCGAAACTCACGATTGCACAAAGTACTGGATGATTGACTTTTCATTGAATCGAATAAAATTATTATCTCACAAAAATTTTAATTATCTTTGGGTTCCAATATTTTATACATAAATAAATAAGAAGGTTACTATATAATTTTATAGAACTAAATTATATATTAGGTGATTTTTTTATATTATTAATATTTTTTATATATTTTTTTTATATTATATTTAGTATCTTTTTAAAACATACTTTAACTTTCTTAATTATATGTACAGAATCAGTGGCACTGAATTTTGTTATAAGCAGTAATGAAACCAGCATAACTTTAAATAATTTAGTTGATGTACATGTTAATGATACGTGCCCTTATACGTGGTATCGAGTACAATTATTCAGTGAAAATAAAAAATTATTTGATGAATCAACAACTTTCCCCAAAATATTTAAAGATCTCAATTCATTCTCTCATTATAAAGTTGTTGTTTTATCAGAAAGATCTACTATTATCAATAAAATCGTCAATACGTTAGAAGGAGGTAAAATTTTTTATCATTATTTAAGAAATTATTTTATAATTTATATATTTAAATCTAAATAACAAATATTTTGCAGCCCCAAGTCCGGTAAAAAATTTACACGTTGTATCTAGTTCCATTGATCAGATTAATATAACATGGAATTCACCGGATAAGATCAGAGGAAAACTAGTAAATTATACTGTAGGAATTCAGGTATTTTTCTCCTTCAATATGCCGATTATAAAAGGATTGTATTAAAATTTTATTCATCTGTTTGGTTAATATTTTATATAACATATATTTATTGTAAAAATATTTTTCTCATTCCGTTTGATTAATATTAAATTTCAATTAGTGTTTTAGAATGTCTATATCTTTTAAAATATCAATTCTATGATTTTAATATGGATAAATTTTTAGCTCGTTGAATCACGTGGATGCAGTGATTTAGATGGAATTTCTTATAATTTAACCTTTAGTAATATTGCTAAACGATTTCATATGAAAGATGTAATAACAAATACATCAAACAATACTTTTAATTATGTATTTAAAAATTTGATGCCCTATACTGTGTATCTGATCACTGTTCAAGCTTATACATCTCGACACGCGGGAGAAAAGACAGAACTACTTTACGAAACTGCATCCATAGGTAAATTTTAATGATATATTATATATACTTTATAAACGTTTTTATAACACAATTAATTAATAAATTAAACATTTGAAAGCCTTAATGCATATACAATCATTATATTTATGTATATAGCAAATCTTTTAGATACTTTAATAACTATTTCAATTATTAGCCAAATCTATTTATGTAATTATATAAAATATTTGATAAAAAATAATTTCAAAATAACTTTAGAAAAATTTAGGAAAAGAAATTGTATTTCTTTCTCTGAAAGAATATTAAATAGTTTCAAAATTAGTATATTAAATATAAATAATAAATAATATAAAGTTAATATTATAACTGCTTAACTAAATATTTTATTTATAATAAATTTAATAGGAATAATAAATCAAATAATTTTTCTTAAAGATCTTCCGACAGAAATCTTTACTAATTTTCGATTTACCAATGAAACATCGTCAACAATAGCTGGATATCTCAGATGGAATCCTCCAGATAATTGCTCAACTATTACTGGTTCCATTCTTGCATGTAAATTATTCTTCAAAAACCGTGAGCTTACGACCATTATAGTCAACAATTATTATTATCCGCTTGAAAAGTCCGTCTTCAATGGCGCCCAACTTTATGATGTACAATTATATGCACTAAGAGATTTTTACCATCTGGAAAATAAGACAGCATATACTACTTTAAATTTTGAAATGCCTGCTAGAGGTAAAAAAAAAATTGAATACAAAGAAAATTTATAAAATTTACGGACTACAATTATTTAATATTCAAATTCAAATATGAATTATTAATTGTAACAATTAAAATTAATTATTAATTTTGTTAAAGATTACATAAAATATTTCAAATTTCACTGATACATTTTTATAAAATTAAGTACGGAAATTAATTAAAATTAAGTAATATTTAGTCATTCAGGCATGATTTTGTATTTATTTTATATTTTCACAATAATGGACTTGGTTGTTCTTGAGTAATTTATGAAATTTTTAAAGCAATAAGTAACATTTGCTATGTTGCAAAAATTAGAATTATTATTAATTATAAATAAATAATTACAAATTCATTTAAAAATGCAATTAAAATGTTTTTTTAATATTTTATAATATTTTATTTTTAATGTATAATGGTAATAATTTTATTTTAATCATTATTTTTATTTTATTTTGGGAGTAACAAAGTAACAAATAAATAATAAAAATATGCTTATGAAAGTATCTTATTAAAAAAATGAATAAAATTATAATAACTATTATTGCATTAATAAGTAAGAATATTAATAAAAAAATATTTTATTTTTTATTATTTTGCTTAACTAAAGTTTCTATCAATTTTTATTTTAATTCATCTTATGAGCAGTTTCTAGTAATAAATAAAGGAATAACTATTATAATAACTCTATAAAAATATATTATATATACCTTTTTGTAAGTTTCGCTACAATTTGAATTTTCTATTGTTGCATATTAAATTTAAGCTTATTAATATTTAAAGAAACTTTAATTTTTTATAAAAATGTTCAAGTATTCAAAAACAATTTTATAATTTTTGAAATACAAATTAATTACCTATTTCATAACATAATTTTTTTCACTAATGATATTAACATATTTGTCAACAAAGCGCCACCACCAATACGAAATCCTGAAATTGTAGAAGTAGACATTTTAAATAAGACCATGACAATAAGATGGAATGTGCCAATAACGCCAACTCATGGTCAATTAGATCATTATTCAATAATATATTGTAAGCATTCGATCAATTGCAATGAAACTTCATATGTCAACGTTTCGCTGAATGAGATTTATAAATTTGATAACTTTGAATATGCTCCTTATAAGACTCTCCCACTTCCATCCGATTATTACGATGAAATTCAAGTAAGCTACCATGTTACTAGAAAAGCGAGGTATTTGTTTATTTAAAAATATGATGTTTTAGATCACGGCATATAATACAAATGTAATGGAGCCATCGGAACCTGCAATTATACCAATAAGGAGAGTTGAATTCGGTAAGATTATTTAGTATCACAAATTCATTACTATATTTGCTTTTTAATGCTAATAGGATTAGAAATATATTGAAAATGGATAAATGATAAAAAAAACTATATTTCCATCATATTTATTCTTAATATCAAACTTTGTCCGGAAAATAATTCCACAATCTGACTCGTCAGCCAAACGTGCAAAAATCAACTTAGAACAAAAAACCCACTAGATGTTGTGTGGGGTTGTCGGGCAAGTAAAGGGTTAATGCATCGATTCAATAATTAACACATCTTTATTATTACTGTTTAATTCATTTATTTTACTTTATTTCCAATGGGAATTATTAACCTTGGTGAAATTACACACGATCCTTATATTTCTTAATAATCTTGTGGTGTTGATATATCTGTTTATTGGATAATTAGAGGATAATCAATTTCTTATTCTCTGCATGTCACTGGTGAGATTATGATTTACTGTAACAAGAAGTAGGTTATAATCTATTGAATATTATCACTAAGAGGTTATTGGTGATTGTAGTGCTCTGATCGAACAATATTATTACAATATTATTGTGTGTCAATTCAACACGTGTGCAGTTGCCCCTAAATATAGGTCGTAAGAGAGCCGAAATGGAGGTTATGCGAAGCTGTGCGCCACCTGTGACGGGAACAACTTATCGTTGGAGGGATTGAAAAACCACTGTGGCGTCTGTAGCTGGTTTTGTTCTAGAGTATGCCTGGGAGACTTCGGTAGTTGGACTTTAATCCATCCGTCTTCTACATAAGCCGAGAAATCAAG